AAAACTACCTTATCAAAGGAATGCAAGGCTTGTGCTGCTAATTGGTCAGTCTAAGGACAGTTGAAATAAAAGGAATCTGAGCGGTTGCACGTTATCAGAACCATTCAGAAGCTTTAAATGGGCTGGAATATCTAGAAACCATTCAGAAGGAAGATACAGCTCTATAAAAGGGATTAGTTAGCTGTTGCCTGGATCAGTGGGCCAGCGGACCTCGAGGAGCCCAAGGACTGCATTCCAGGGCCCTTCCCGGTACCCCTTTGGACAGTGTCGTTCAGAGACGCCTGACTTCGCTGAACTTTGTGGAAAGAGAAGCTTGCTGCGTGTCAGGCAGAGGGAACTGCCGATAAGTTGCCGACGCAAATTGCTTTTGTCTGTCATTGTTTGTCTTGTTACTACGTGTAGTTGTGTTTTTATTAAGTCAATAAATCTTTCTTACCTTTCTACCCCCGACCATACTCTCAATCCCAACCCCTCCACAGGGGGCTGGGACACCCTACCACGCTGTTACCTTCTCTCATTCCTTGGAGTCTCAGACCAGCAGAGACTCCCTATTACTGATGAAGGGTGACTGTACCTGAAAGCTTGCCAATAACTTCTTTCCAGCTACTCAGTTGGTCTAATAAAAGATATCACATCTAACCACAGAACCTTGCCTGCCTATGCCCTTAGACCAACACAGCTACAACCAAAAAAAAAAAAGGCCTAAGGTGAGAAAAATGGAGCTAGAGTGAGTTAAGAGAAGGCTGCCTAGGCTAGGGGGTTTCAGTAAAAATAAGACCTGACAGGCTAGGAAGATGCACAGAGAACAAGGTAGTAGCTGGACAGCTTCTCCCAATTTACGTAGGGAAAAGCAAGGCCCGCCTTAGCTAGTGATAAATAGGTTAAAGGCTGGGTAGGATTAGTACGCTATTCCTTTAAAATGCCTTTGTTTAACACCATGGTTTTTGGAAAAAAATCATGGTTGGTTCTGAAGAAGCTGTCTTCAAGTTCTTTTAGTCAGCATCCATCACAGACTCCCAAAGAAAAACCCTTGCAGGACCGGACTTCAGTGGAATGAATTACAGGTGCTACCCAGTCAGTGGGCCAGTACCCCAGACCAGAACTAAGAACACGTGTAGGAGTGCATGGGCTAAAACCCTGAGGAGGGGTAGCAAATAAAGCTAGACTAGTGACCATAGCATTTTGGTGGTAGAGGTAGGAAGCTGAGGTAGGAGACTTGCAACAAGAGACAAACTACAGTAAGAACAAGCATTAGCAGAACAAAAGCAAGTGAGTTAAGTGTCAGGAATGCAGGATAGGGTGGGGGGGGGAAGAGTTATGCACAGCTTAAGTCTGCTAGTGCAGACTTGCTCAGAAAGAGCATTACATCCCCTAAAGATGAGCAAGGCCCAAGTGGTGTATTTGCTATACTCTCAACATCACTGGGCCAGTTCCAAATGACGACTCAGGACAGAAGCCCAAATTACCAGAAGAGGCCGGGGAAGTGAAGGAAAGGTAGAATGGGATCATGGACACTGGAGAAGGTCAAGTTCCCTGGAGAAAGTTTGAGGATAGTCAGCTCCAAAAGCACAACATCCAGAGTGTATGTTCTAAACAGAGCTGTGGATAACTCTAGTCTAGATCATGTTTCTTGAGGTAGCAGAGACCTGGAAACAGGAGTTTGAGCCAAAGCGACAGATGCATGGTATTTGGTACAGGGTTTCCCTCTAGACAGACTTTATTGCCTCATTTACTGGGGCCCAAAGCTGGAGAGATGTACTGTCAGGCGAGCAAGGCAGATGATTTTGTACCCCAGACAACTGTGGATGTGTCATAATTTACATTCATGCAAACAGTCCCAGCTGATTCCCAGTAAAAGTTAATGGGCATTTATACACATACTTTTTGATCCTGTGATGCACTGGAGATGTGCTGCATGCGAACTGACACACTGCGCTGCATTGTATGTAGTTGTATAAGTGGCAAAATGCACATCAGCGTGCACAAAATGGCAGCGGTGTGATTTTGGACTAAAGCACCTTCTATGCATTTCAGTTCAAAAGCGCACCACCACCATTTTCACTGCGCCGACGCGTAATTCACCACTTATACAACTGGAAGCATTGCAGCACTGGGTGCTTTTCAAAGTGCCTGGTGCTGCAGCGTTTACATGTGTAATAGTGCCCAATGAGGTGATATTCAGGGAGTGACAGGTCAAGTATAAACTCAAAGGTTCAGGAGTGCAGGGATTCCTGAAAAAATCCCCGTGTAACCCAGGTGTGTAACCAAGAGGGAGAGCTAAATGATACCTCTTGAACCCATTTTGTAAGCTTCTACATCCAAACGTGCAACTGTGATGCTGCTGCACAAAGCACAGGAAGTGGAGCAGCCTGGGAGACCGCTACATGACCAAAAATGTGGGTTCTCGGTACTAGTTCTATGTTAGCCTGATGAAGTGACAGGAGGGCGGGGGATGAAGGACCTCCCCAAGTAACCCTGTTAAGAACTTCTTCCAAGGGGGGGGGGCAGGGAATCCCACAAACTGGTAAAATGTCTGGATTATATAGTTAAAGAAAGAGGAAGCTAAAGGTCATCACAGAGCCTTACAAGAGAAGTAGAGCGGGAATAAAGATAAGATAGCCTCAAGAAGCATCCTAATCAAAGGAGTCGGATAACAAAGTATGATCCACCAGCTTGGGACAGGAGTTATCTGGCTGGTTCCAGCATAGGATCAAAGGAGGCCTAATGCCTAAAAGACCCTGAGAAACTGAAGGGGGAAGCTGCAGGGGGCAGTACATTAGATCAAGCTAGGGGAGACTGCCTTGACTGCATCAGTGAAGAAAAACCTGACAGACCTGGACTGGTAAGTCACAGAGCAGGCTGCAAGCAATGTAGGATGTTTCTCCCAATTCAGGAGGAGATTCATTCAGACACCCAAGAACAGCGTTTTCCCCAGTGTTACACCTTCACAAGGGCTAGGCTGAGAAAGATTCAATACAGGGACAACAACTGGTTTCAGGCTGGACAACTCTGTGACCAGCAAGACCTAGAAAAAGGGTTTATGCCATTTCCAAGCACCCATGCACCACTCTCCAGCCTCACCAGTTCAATAAAAGCATGTATAAAACTATATAGATAAAACACTCGCGCATCACCCTGGTAGCAAAAGAGGTATCAAATTGAAACTAAGCTTCTTTAACATTTAAAATCTTCCTCTGAGATTTAAGATCCCTAGTGCAAAAGGAGCTTTATAAGCACAAATACCAACAGGTGTGAAACAAAGTTGTTCCTTCAGCAAGAAAGGGGCATTTCCTGGAAACATGATGCTGGGAGGACAAGACAGATTTTATTTGCACTTTTCAGCATCTGAAGACAATCTTTCTGAGCAAATGGTGAAACCAAGTTCATCCTAAACTCAGTTTATTAAAATCCCAGTGCATAACAACAGCTATACCATAAATTGGTACTGACGCTGCAATCTGCTCCCTCTCCTCCATTTCCTGCCTCTCAACCTAGACATGGAACCTGTTTTCAGTGTTGTTTGGAACTGGTCATGGGTGTCACCAGAAGGTCTTTTGTTGGGATTAAGGAAGGTTGGTAGTAAAGCAGGAGGGAAAAAGTGCTAGGAATGAAAAAACCTTGGTGCACTAGGAAATGAAGGGCAGGGCATTTATCACCTTGTCCATTTTACATTTTGCTTTTCTGTCCCCAACCTTCCCCCATATATCCAGATTTTACACTACAGGTTCTCCTAGGAAATTACTCCATTACCCTTCTGCATCTCCCTCCCCACTGAAGATCCTTCAAGCCACCTTAGCTATCCTGCCCCAACTCAGTCAGCCCCCTTCTGTTGAAAAATGCTGTCCTATTCAACCTAAGATTGAGAACGTTTCCCACTTCACTTCTACACAGCTTTCCACTCCAAACTCTCCCATCCAAATATTCCCATGATGCTTCCTCGCATGTCTCTACACCACACTTGACCATTTTGTTGCACATACTTGTGCTCGTTTATTGTACTTTGCAAGATTTTTCATTGTACATATGCCTTCAAGCAGCAGGCACTGCAGCAGGCGTTGTTGCATAGTCTGAGGCTCTGTGCCAGTCACAGGCGTTTGAACCAATGGTATAGCCCCACTTCTTTGTTAGTTCCTTGGAACGTCCAACTTCGATAAGTAGGTGGTTAAGACATCGCCACCTTTGCCCTGGCTCGTCAGCCCAATGGTAGGGACTCAGCTGCAGGAACATCCATTTTTTCGCTGTCAGGTATTTTCTTCCCATGCTAAGGATGTGCCAGGATGCATCTCTACCCAACCACACACCTCCAACAGCCTCAGAAGTCTCTTCTCCCACTTCACTATCCATTTGCCTAATCTGAAAAAATAGGAACAAAGCTAACAAAGTACATGAAGCTGGCTCTGCCATCCTGCTTTAAGGATCAGCCCCACAGAGGCCAGCATTCCCTGCTCTGTGTCCTTTGCTCTCTGAACTCTACTTGCGGTAAGGCTGTCAGTGGCTCAGCAGCAGCCGGGTGCTCCACAATGCCAGCCAGTGGCAGCAGGTGATACAGAAGAATAGAAAACCCAGATGGCACTTTGAGTCCATATGAACCAGTCATCCTTATAGCTGTGTATGAAGGAATGAAGGTGCACGGCCTGCTTACAATTCCCAGCCCTAGCTTCCTTTTATTTAACTGTATTAAATGAGGGGAAAATGCCCACAATTTTTTTTGCCTGGATATATGCAAATAATTTTCTAAAAACCCAAACACACTGTGTACCATACAGCTGGGTTCAGTATCCAAAGCACCCTGCATTAGTCCAGTCACCACCTTTGACATCTCTCTTCTGAGAAGTTTACAAGGAAACAGACTTGCTGAAACTCCAGCTTGCTAAAATGCTGCCAAGCCTGTAAAAAATAATTCATGCTTGATAGAAGTAGAATTGGTTTTGTTTAACTAATAAGTTTAGCATCCTATCAGGCCAAGGATAAAGCTCTGAACAAATCACAACAAGTGAAAATACTGTTAGCAGTTTCATAATTTAATGAAAAAGTACTTGTAAAAAGGGGATATCTGAAAAAGACTGAGTCCATCTTGGAAAACTGAATTCAATTTATATATATATAAATTACACATATAAATTTAATTTATATATATATAAATAAAAACAAAATGGAAAACAAAAAGTTAACAAATAAGGTTAAGAGGTAATACTTCAAACAGTTAGCCACCGAACACACAGTAAAAACTAGCAAAATGCACTTTGAGGACAGTACTTGAGAACTACATAACCAAGGACTCCTTCATGTATCTATTAACATCTTGTAAAAGTCTACAAGATTATTGCCCGGGCTGGAAACAATTGAGTGAGCATTCCCCAAACAGCAGAGACTCTGGAGTTGCTGAAGCACCATTTTCCCCAACCTCTGACAGATACAACTACTGGGCATGAAAGAGCATACTGTTCTGCTGGCCTCTGAGATAAATATATTCCCAAGATGAGCTCCATACAATTTCATGACCAGTAAAGGATTAATAATAAATATTGAAGGAGAACTAAGAGAATCAGAGTACAAATGAACAGACATTTGCTTACTCATTCTGAATTACCCATGGCTTAGGAACACAAAGCATTTCCAATTAAAATAAAATATAAGGAAACCTAAAAATGCTACTGCATATTTACACCAAAAGAAATATTTTGAAAATACACCTCTAGAAAGACAATTACACAGATATACAGAAAATCAAGAAGTGAAAGAAAACAATCATAAGGATGCATGAAGCAGAGAGCGCAGAACTGCCAAGTATATTTTTTATTTCATTAATGACATGTCCTCCAGACCCAAGTAGATAACTATTGCAGTTAGGAAAATTTCCAGTTCAAGTCATCCAAAAAGGTTTTGTTGTGCTTTCCCAAACTAAAATCCACAAAATTAATTAGGACCATGAAGGGAAAAAAAAGAAGAAAAATGAAGCTGCAATTTGTATTCTGTAGACTTCTTTATATTGGGTGTTTAACATCTGTCTTTTGGGTGAAATTTACTCCAAGGCAAAGGAGCTTTATGTGGAGCTCTATGCAACATATGTCCCATTCCAGGCCCTGATGTGGGACAGGGCTTTACACATTTATGACTAAAAAATATATAGCATTTCAGCAGAACAATGCAATTAATCTCTTGGTTAACACAATATCTGAAAAACAGAAGTTTATTTTTATTAAAAAAACAAAGCCGTGTACAGTAATGAACAAAACAGGATATTTTCTGTGGTTGGTTGACTGTTTCTACATTAGTTTACAATTTGCATTGGCAAATTTTAGGACTGGCGCGCAGCATTTTAGTTTGGGAAGGAGCAACTAACTGGAAATTGATAAGCATCTTAAAATGTAATTTAGTTTAGGCCACTAGTAATAAAAATGTACTTTCAACTAACAGCTGGCTACATTTTTTCAGACTGAGGTGCCAGAAGTTAAGGTTTCTAAACTTGTACTTCAGCAGCTAAGTTTGAAAATTTTGGCCTCTACAAAAAGGTCAAACAAAAAAGATTTCTAGTTCAGCTTATTTAAAAAATACCAGGTATATATGCCACCAGATATGAAATCATTTTCACCAGGGACCTGGCACCATCCGTGATTGCCTAAATTTAGGTGTCAAATAGCATTCTTCTTTGAAGTAGTACATCTACTTTTGTAAACACTATTCACAAAATTAGCCATCTGTACTTGTTAGCTGGGTAAAATATTTACAAGTGCATCCCACAACAAGCAGTTATATACAGAGATTTAAAAAATTGAAGCGCTAGAAGTTGTATATTTACAAAATAAGCAAATTATTGTAAAGGGAAACACAACCTTTAGCATGAGCAAGAATGGGGGCGTATCTAGAGGTCAGTAAGTTTGGCAGCATTGGTGATGTTTGCTTCCACCCTGAGAAAGGGTTCACAAATATCACTGGAGTTCTAGACATTCTGCCCAACAAGATCTCCATTTAGTAGTCACTTCGACCCCAATCCAGCCAAGAGCTTAAACAAAGGCTTTAAATTTAAGTGTCCAAGTATCACCACTGAACTCTATAGGCATTTGTACGCATGCCTGCGCTGCAGCACCAGGTGTCTGTTAAAAGCACCTGCTGCTGAGGCACATACATTTGTATAAACGGTGAAATGCACATCAGTATGGAGTGAATGGCGGTAGCACACTTTTGAACTAAAACACATCGAAGGTGTTTCAGTTCAAAAGCGTGCCGCCATTTTCTTCGCGCTCATGCACATTTCGCTATTCATACACAGCACCGAAAAAGCATGTGTATAAATGCTCTATGGGACTATTCACATGCTTAACAAGTAAGCACGTGCTTAAGTGCTCTGCTGGATCAAGGCCACACTGCAGGTGCAATGGGAATGCAGCTTCAGTGTCCACATTAGTCTCTTGCAGCATGTTACACATTAATGCAAGGACTCTTTTAATAGCTGTCTCCAACACAAAGCTGTCATCATATATTGTAAGCACTGCCTTACACAAAAGCTGGCAAAAAGGAAGCAGTTCCCTGGAGCAATAACAAAGGTTCACTGCTCCAACCTTTCCCAGATGTAAACCCTGATAAAACTCACTGGATTTCCTTAAGACCTTGCAGAAAAACTTGATTAACCACCTTAAAATGGCAAGCCAATTCACAGCTGTAACACTACTCCAGTTGCTGTTTCCCTCTTTCCTACTGCATGTCTTTTTAACATGGTCCTGTGCTGTAGTCAGAAACCCTTTTGCACCGGCACACCGGGTTATGCCAAGGTTGAGTTACCCCCATAGAAGGTTCTAATCACCTTTGAACTGAACTGTGAGAAATCATATTTTTTTTGTTTCTACTGTGACAATCTCGACCAAAATCTTTACTTGGGCTTCCCCTCTCTGAGCTGCTTCTCCTTAATCTGACTTGCTCTTTATTCTCATCACTTTCAGCTTCAGAGTCACTCAGTTCCAAATCGGGGCAATACCCATCATTGTCCTGGTAAGGAGCTCCTTCAAGAACCTGTTTGTTCCACAAACGTTCTTTAGTTGAAAGCCTTCTTGTTGGCTTTTCACAGCATCTGAGATCTTCTGTGGTCCTCACCAAGCTGTTGGTTGCCTCTTTAAAGGACCTACTAAAATGTTCTATGGTGGATTTTCTAAAGCTGCTCTGACTAGCCAAATGAGCAGTGAGCACAGAATCGTGTTCATATGGCGTCTGGCTGGAGCTGTCTCTCTGAATAACATCCCCTGACCTTCCCATTAAACCATTGGACTTGACTAGTCTTGCATTCTCTTGCTGCATTTTTCCATTGCCATTTGAAGACTGTCCATGCAAAGCAGCTTGAAGTGCTAATGGTTTACCAGATGGCTGCCCACGAGGAAACTCTGGTAACTGTGCAGGTCCTAAATCCTTCGTTTCATTCCTAGACTTGCTGATCCCTCCCAGCAGCCCGTTACTTCGGTTGTCATGCTGGTACCTTGAGTAAGATTTCATTTTAATTTCAAATGACTCCTTTGACAGCTGCAAACTCCTTTTGCTGTACACAGTGGTATTGTTGTCAGGAGAAAGGGGTCTGTTGCCAGGTTTCAGTGAGTTATTTTTGCAATCCCCCAGTGCTGATTTAGGCATTTTTAACTTCAGGGTGATCCTGGGAGGTGGGTAAAACAGTGTGTTTTCCAGTGCACTTGTCAGAGTATGGCCTGAGATAGGGAAAACAGAAAGTACATCATTTAAAGAAAACAGAAAAAAAGACAAGACTTGTATTAAGGTCAGCTAATTTCCCTGCTTACAAGAGATATGTACATTAAGAACTTTCAGACTAGCAGTTAATACAACATTTTTACTATTAAGGAGAAGCCAATAAACTAAAATATTCCAAAGTATCCATCAATGAAGAACTTACGTAGAAGTTTTAAAACTTCTATTAAAAATATTGTACCCACCTTTTATATCTTTTAATCATACAATTCTATATTCCTGAAAAACATCTTTACCCAGGAAACTACATTAGAGGCTGCCTGATATTAAAGAGATAGCACATCCACTAGAATAACTCCATAACTGTGTCAACAAGCTCTTCTAGCTTGACAGAAGTAGTCAGATATTGTAAAAAACCCTCAAAATTAATTTAACAGGAATTTTCAACATAAAAATACTCCAAGTACTTTTATTCTCTCCACTTTCATCCCCCTTCTCTCTCCCCACCCCCAGCCTGTCTCTCACCCATTGACTCCTCAATCTACATTTTCACTGACTACCTGTCTTGTATGCATACCAGCCGCTGGCTTCTTTACTTTTCATTCCATCCAGGAAGAGCACACCAACTGCTGAAACTTCCTTAGCCTGACGAAGGGTTTTTGAACCCGAAAGCTTGCTTAATAATTATTCTCCAACTATTTGGGTTGGTCTAATAAAAGATATCAGATTCACCCAAGGAACCTTGTCTGCCTTTATTCTCTTACGACATTTTTCTGACTTAATTGGCTGGAGGGGGCAGAGGGAGGGAAGGGAGGAAGGAGAAGAACCTTCTATATTAAATGAAACATCTTCAAAGTTTGAGGGGAGATGGAAGACTTTTTTTAAACGGTTATAGGATACCTTAGGAATCTTAACATAAAAACAATTCCCATAATAAGAAAATTCCTAATTTTCTATTGTATACGGCAGACATGACTTACTTTTCAATTCAAAACCATCAAAACAAATGACATACTCTAACTCAGTTCAAATGTAATGCTCATTATTTCATGAAAAATAAAGCAGCAAAGGTGGATTGTGGTACATCAGTGTTCCAGGGCAACAGCTACCTATTATTACAAGTCAGAGCCCTTCACAGTATTCAGGAGTCCAAGAGAAAGGGTTAAGGAAACCATATTAAAAATGCACAAGAGCAAGCTATCCCAATGCTAAGAAAGGATAGAAAGTGTAGGAGTCTGGCCTGGCTAAACAGTGAACTATTCAGTAAACTGAAAATTAAAAAGGTAGCCTAGAAAAAGTTGAAATGTGGTCACATTACTAGGGGAGAGTATGGGAGTAATACATAGACATACAGGGTGAAAATCAGGATGGCCAAGGCATAAACTGGGTTGCAATTAGCAAAGGGGATAACAGGCAAAAACCCTCCAAATTCTACAGGTATGTCAGAAAAAAGGAAGACCAAGGAAAGCACAGACCCTTTATTGAACAGAGAAGGCAATCTAGTAACGGGTGACATAGAGGAGGCTGAAGTACTTAATGCTGTTTTTACTCCAGTCTTCAGGAATAAAGGTCTACTATCCACTGAAAAATGCAGTTAGCTGCAAGGACTGAGGAGGAGATAATCAGCCTAGTATAGTGGAAGAACATGTCTGGGATAATTTAGAGAAGCTGAACGTTGTTTTTAAGTCAGCAGGCCTGATGCATCTTAAAATACTGAAGGAACTGGCTGAGTATTTCAGGACCACTGGCTACCTTCTTTGAAAAATTCTCGCTGAGAGTTTTGAGAATTCATGGAACTTGCATTTGGTCCCAGATGACTGGAAAAGGACAAATATATGCCCACCTTTAAAGGAGGGGAAGGAGGAAGATTCAGACCACTCAGTCTGACCTTGATATCTGGAAAGATTACTGAGCAGGTCTTCAAGGAACCTACTTCTAAGCACATGGAAGAGAACAAGAATCAGAAACAGCCAACATGGATTCTTCAGTACGTCATGCCTGGCCAACATGATTTCCTTCTATGATAAAAGGGATAGGTTCTGTGGATGGAGGTAGAGCAGTAGATATGATGCACCTTGATCTCAGCAAGGCTTTTGACACCATTTCCCATAATAGTCTCATTTGTACACTAAAAGGAACAGAGTCTACGTGGAAGTATTGTAAGGTGGATACATAACTGGTTGGATCATCATGCTCAATAAGTAATCATTAATAACTCAGCATCTACTCAGGGAGGAGGTAATGAGCAGCATTCCCCAGGTGCCTCTCCGGGGTCCAGTATTGTTTAATATCCTCATTAATAACTTGGAGTATGGGACTGAGTGCACCCTTAGCAAAACTGCAGATGACACCAAGTTGGGTGGAGTTGCAGGCACTCTGGAGGGAAGGCCTAGTATTCAATATGATGAATAACTTGGGAGAAATGGTAAAAAATTAATCAGATGTGATTTAATAAAGGACAAGTGCAAAGTCCTGCACTTAGAACTAAACAAAACTGCATACACAAATGCAAATTGGGGAATGACCAGCTAGGCTGTTGTCCTGCAGAAAAGGACCTGGAGATAATACAGAACAACAAGATGCTCTTCTTACAAAAATGGCCAATAGCATACGAGGCTGTATTTATAGGGGCATCACTTGCAAGTTAAGGGAAGTGCTTCTTCTACTCTATTCAGCAGTGATGAGGCCTCACCTCGAGTGCTGTGTCCAATTTTTGGCACTGCACTTAAAAAGGCAGACAAACTGGTAAGAGTCCAGCAAAGAACAAAAACTATTAAGTTATATTTCCCAGACCTCTAAAAGGAGAGGCTGAAAGAACTGGGATTATTTAGTCTGGAGAAGAAGAGATTGAGGAGAGACTTGATAACAATTTTCAAATACCTTAAGGGGGGTTATGAAGAGGTTTTGACTACCTCTGTGGCTGCAAGAGACTGCAAGAAGCAGTGGTCTTAAATTGCAGTAAGGGAAGTTTTTATTATAAGGGTAGTTAAGCATTGGAACTGGCTACCCAGACAGGTTCTGGAATCTCCATCCTTGGAAGTTTTTAAGAATGGATTAGACAGGCACTTGACTGAGGTTGTTTAGTCAGAGATGATCCTGCTTTGAGCAGGGGGTTGGACTAAATGATCTCCTGAGGTCTCTTTCAGCTCTACTTTTCTATGATTCTATAAACAAGACACGTAGAAGGAAGAAAGAAGGATGACCCCCAAGTCTCAAGAAAGAGACTTGGGGGTCATCATTGACCACAAGATGAACATGAGCCTGCAGTGCGATGCTGCGGCTAGTAAAGCGACCAAAACACTGGCTTGCATCCATAGATGCTTCTCAAGCAAATCCCGGGACGTCATTCTCCCCTTGTACTCAGCCTTAGTGAGGCCGCAGCTGGAGTACAGTTTTGGGCTCCACAATTCAAAAAGGATGTGGAGAAGCTTGAGAGAGTCCAGAGAAGAGCCACGCGCATGATCAGAGGTCAGGGAAGCAGACCCTACGATGACAGGCTGGAAAAGCGCAGGCTCAGGGGTGATCTGATGGCCACCTATAAGTTTATCAGGGGTGACCACCAGTATCTGGGGGAACGTTTGTTCACCAGAGCGCCCCAAGGGATGACGACTAGGTCGAATGGTCATAAACTACTACAAAACCGTTTCAGGCTGGACATAAGGAAGAATTTCTTTACTGTCCGAGCCCCCAAGGTCTGGAACAGCCTGCCACCAGAGGTGGTTCAAGCGCCTACATTGAACACCTTCAAGAGCAAACTGGATGCTCATCTTGCTGGGATCCTATGAACCCAGCTGACTTCCTGCCCTTTGGGCAGGGGGCTGGACTCGATGATCTTCCGAGGTCCCTTCCAGCCCTAATGTCTATGAAATCTATGAAGAATATAAATTGCAAGTCTCAAGTTGAGAAAAATTTACAAGTATGAGAATATTGTGGCTGTTGCACACTCCCTTCAAAGGAAATGAGCAACAAGTTAAAAACCTGTCTTCACTTGGAGAGAGACAAGAGGGTGCAGGATCCCTAACTGACAGACAACATGGCTGTGGTGCCTAGCTATCCTAGTGATTGATATCTACTGTATACATACACCCCCAAAACAATACTGATAAGAACTCCCTAAGCATGCTAATTTGAAGTTTTTAATGCATTAAGTATCATGGGACACAGTGAAAGTATAGAATCTTTAGCACATACGATTCTACTGTTACTCTGTATTTATAAATTACCTGCAGCAATTTCCTGGTTAGTGAGCTGAGCTTGCAAGTTGAAGACTTGTTCATGTACTTTACTATGAGACAATTTTAGTTTCTCTCTTCTGCTTACCATGTAGCATAGATTCCTCACCTACAAAGAATGAGACATTTTCGAATGCTTTCTTTAAGATGCAATTAAGACAGTTTAAGAATATTATGTTCAAGTTAGAATTTACAAAACATTTTCACTCATGCAAGGGTACAGACTAGAGCAATGACTGTAGCAATATCAAATGACTAGCCAATTGCAAAAACCATTGCAACTTTGTTACAGTAAGTTGACTAACTTCTCTTCAAGATGCTACTATTTTTGTCTGTGTGTTCCTGGCACTTCCCTTTGTAAACAGTAAAAAGGTACATTTATCTGTAGCCTATAACTCAACAGTTAATTTCTCAGAAGTTACTTAATACTTAGGGATCATAGGAAACTGTAAACCAAGATTATACAACTGCCTGGATGTTTTAGGAAATCAGTCCCTTTAAAGATACCCTGAAAGTGATCTGCAAGTCCTATAGTCCTATTTACATCTCTATAAGCAACAAGCAAAGAAGCAAACAAGTTTAGAATTCAAATGTTTCTCCCCCACCCCCGCAACCCCAAATTGCAGCATTTAAAGCAAGTACCTAGCTCACCTGCAGATAGACATTCAAGCCTTTACCATTCAAGTGCTTACCCTCTCTAGATCCTGTCTCAAGTGCATAAACATTCGCATGCGGGTATGAATGCTATCTTCTTTTGGCTGCACCAACCCATTTTCTTCATCCTCCTTGGGAGGAAACAATGGTTTATTAAAGTTACTTTTCCGCTTTAATTTCCAGTAATTATAGATGAAGTCCACAGCAAGCTTAGGAAGGGCCAGTTCTGCTGCAACATCTTCTACTTTAACTAGTGTGTAGAACTCCTCTTCCAGCTCTCTAAGTTTCTGAGCACGCAAACTGGTTTTCTCACTCTCTGTGTGCTTCTGGTCTGCCATGCTCTTAGGGTTCTCATCAATATCAGGCAGTGAATTCTGCTTGTTTTTGCTATGTTTTAGGCAATATGACTTGAACTTGACCTCATCCCCATCATCCAAAATGGTCTTCATCTCTAAGCTATGCTCAAAGGCACAGGTGACGTGAAAGGCAGTAATGCAACTTTTCACAGAGCACTAGGAGTGAAAGAAAGGAGTCTGTCAGTTAATAGTAACACAGAAAATGAACTACAAACAACCCATATCCAGAAATAATTTATTTCTGTGCTATACTTACCTTAAAAAAGGCTCACCAGATTTTCAAAAATTTGTATTGCTCCTGAACTGAGAATCTCAATGGTAAGTCAATTGTGCAAAATTAACATCCCTCCAAGAGATGAGCTACCGTAGAAACTGCAATTTTTTGTTTAAGGCATAGCAACTCAATCTCCTAGTATTTCATACATCTTACTTGAGTCCAGACAAAACTAAATGTGAGGGAAACAATCAGTTGCTGGGCTACTGATCCAGTATTTTCTACCTTTACGGCTGGTCAGAATTGCCTTTCCATTTGATATATTGTTTCAAAAGGAATTTTTAAGGTTCAGAAGTTAATTTTCCTCTTTTGTCTGGAAGATGTTAAATGTCTCCAGCCATTGTAGATGAACTAAATATCCAAGGGCCTTTACCTTAAAGAACGCAATCAAAGCTGTTCAATGGGCTGCTAAGAGGGAGGTGTCAAAATACTAGACCAGTGGCTCCCAACCTTTTTTTTTTTTTTGCTGTGACCCTAAATCTGGGTCGTGACCCCCGCCCCCGCCTCACTCTCGCCCAGTGGCAACAGCAGAGCCTGGGCCGGACCAGGATTGCGGGGGGACAGTGGTGGTGAGAGCTGCATGGACAACGCGCCAGGAGAGCTCCGTGGGCAGGAAGGTCAGAACAAGGGGCAGACCCCCCACAACCCTGATTTGGGTCATGACCCAAGGTTGGGAGCCACTGTACTAGACTATAACTACAGTGCCAGTCTTGGCTTCATTACGAAGCACTTTGAAAATGAGGAGAACATTTGTTTACACACACTGTTTTTCAGGCTGAGACACAAGAGGCATTACATAATTGGTTCATACCTGAATACAAGCACCAGTTTTCAGTTTGCATAAGCTACAGACCAAAGCCCATCGACTTGGTGGAATGTGAGACACTTTTGTGATTGGTTCCATCCTTTCTGGGCAAGCAATGCTCACCTGTAAGCAGAAAACAAAATAAAGCAGCACGTAAAACTTTGACTGAGACATTAATGAAAAAAAAAAAAAAAGAACTGTTACCCAGATATCACAAGGACATTGCAAATGCACATATCTCCAAGCAAAAATCCTACCACACTGCCAGAACAAACAGTCAGAGAAGCAGAAGTGGGAAAGAGGGCTTGGAGGGATTCAGAGAGCTTGAGAAATCTCCTCTCAATGAGGCTTATTTAAAAGCTGGGATGAAGCTCTCAATGATGGTTCTGCAGAACTCAGCAAGGAGGATGGTACACTGAGCTTAGCTTGTAGTTCAAGATTCAACTCTGCCAATCTTTCTCCATGACAGAGTACATTGCACTGTACAGAATAACCAAAGTGTGCACTTGCATCTCATCTACCTGCTTATATTCTAAATGTCCTTAATTAAGAGATTTAGGTATTTTGAAATACACTATGTAAAGACAGTTAGAAATTATTATTTTTCATAGTACTACAGCACCTAAGAACCCTCATCATCACATGCTACAAGACTGTGCACTAAATTTTTTGCATAAATGATCTACCTATTTAGTATTGCACCTTCTTCCCAGTATTCAAAAAATTTATATATACAAGAAATTAAACAGAAATGCAAGTGACACAAAATAAAGCAGGAACATTTATCTGTGCTTATCTGGAAATTCTCTATTCTAGTAATGCCCATCAATCTTTTACAATGGGCACAGCCTGCTTTAAGGCTGGGGCAGAACCAGACCTCTCAAGTCCCTGGCTGCAGTGGAACCTGGGCCTCCTGAAATTCACTCAATTTGTGAAAGCTTCTGTCAGGGGACAGACCAAATCTATTCACCCAAATTAAAGATTATAATTTAATATACTTTAATATATTTTGAGGGAAAAAGCACAATTTCTCTTACTGAAGACCATGGTAAAACTTCACCCAAATTCTTGAATGTCAGTTTTCATCCCTATTCTAAATGATCCATTTTTCTCCAGGATGGGCCAGACCTGCAGATATTACTACCAGAAGGAAAGGAAAAATTCTGATGAGACCAGAACAATTTTCTGGTTCTTTGTGCTCAGGACCACAGGTCCATTGCAACAGCATTTTCACAGCAGGCTGCCTCCATTCTGGGAAGAAGGATCATCTTTAAATGTGAGTATTCAAGCCAAGATAGGTTATCTCCTCCACCTCTCCAAAGGCAGTAAGGATGAAAACAGATGTCACATTTGTGTCGCCAGAAGTTTTTTTTACTGCAGCCCACATCTGTTTGTTTATGGCAGAGAAGCTCAGGCAGCATCACGCTGCCCAGGCTCTTCAGCCCCCCTGCAGCAGGGACTCCAGACTCAGGGGAGCCTGGCCCATCCCCCCCACCGCAACAGGATTCCTAGGCAGGATCAGCCTACTCGGGCCTTCAAAGCACCTGCCTTACTTTCAGATTTGGCCAAGGAAAGGAAAATGGCATTAGTTAAGAATGAATGACTGTAACAGGGTGCATGGCTCAGAAGCTGGAGTGCAGCTGCAGGGGGCTAGCATGGGACAGCCTGCCTACTTAGGAGCCCTCAGCCAGCTGACAGGGATTACTGGCAGCCCCAGGCAAAGTTAAAAGCTCCCAGGGAGGGTAGTTGAGGGAGAAGGAGAGGAGGCTGGTATGCTGAGGGAAAAGCATCTTTCTTTCTCTCCCTCTCAGTTGGATGAAAGAACAGAAGTTTTACTTTTGTTTGTTATTTATACATTTGTTAATGCTATCAATTGCTTTGTTTGACGAGGTGATAAACCTTTTGGCATGTGACTGGAAACAGGACCCACATGTTGCCTAACATTTATGAGGAAGTTGGCTCCTGGGTCAGCCTAATAAAGGGACACCCTACTACAATGACCAAAATGGAAAATGTATCATCTTAAACATTGATGGCCAGGTGGCTGCCTAGCAGATCAAATACAAAAAAACAGGACTTCTTTACCCTACTTTTGAAGACCAGACTCTGATGCCTTAACAAAGGAAGAATATTTCCTTGAATTTACTTAGGAAATGAATGGCATGACAGTTATGAGGACTTCCTGTCTGATTTCAAAGTGCAATATTGAGTCTTAAAAGAAAAGGGTCTTAACTTCAAATAAAAAACCTTCTTCTGATTAGAGCAGACTTCACTATTGCTACTAGCTCAGATGGATGAGTCATTTAATGACACCTGCCAGTGGTTTGCTGTGTCCTTCTGTACACATCTCAATGGGCTTATTTTAAGCCTGACTGGCTCTGCAGTATCTGACCTCTTCCCTGAAACAGAGACAACCAAAGATCCATTATATTAAGTTAACCAAACCACATTACTATCACCCATATAGTCAGCAAGGCATTGGTAGTATTAGAACTACTCTTGTTCCTATCTTTCGTATTGTTTTATGGAAGAACAACCATGGAAAAAGCGCTAAGATACTATTTATATTTAAAGATACAAAAAGATTGATCACCAGCTCTACAACTTGATTTACAGTCAGGAAATTATTTCTGTATATAAAAGAGCCGCTCTGCTCATGTGACTTCTATCATGTAAACCATGCACCCAAAGAATGAACCTCTCCCAGGGAACAGTTGATCAGGTTCTTCCTTGTGAAAATCCCATCAGACACACTGACAGCTATTACTAAACAATGCCTGGAAGAAGCGGTGTCCTGACATCTCAGCAAGTCTAGCTGTTGATGAAGGCTGTTTTCTCTTTTTCTAGTAACTATTCTTTAAACTGAATCAAAAAGATGCATTAAAAATTCCTTGCATTCAGCAGTTGTGAGCAGAGAGAACAGACAACTGGTGCTAGATACTTGACAATGTATAAAATGAGGAAAATGCATTAGGGATGCCCAGAATTACTGAAGAGGTACCAGAACTCTGAATTAGAATTCCCAATAAGCAACAATATATTTTTTTTGTTTATTTTTAAGTTACACTACTTTCTCTTCATCTTCTGTTAATATTTTTCTAAGATGCACACTCATAGTGGACAGCATCCATTCTGGATTAGGACTATGTCTAAATCCATTCCCTTAACCTTATGCCTGTGGTTGTACCAAGTCCTAGACACTCCAAAAACTGCACAGCAAATTTGGTTCCCCACTCTGCATACGGAAGCTTTATCAGAAAATTTTTTTAGGAATAAATAAGTTAAAAACCCATATTATTGCTACTGTATTCCTTGAAAAGTCCTGGGAGCACATAAAAGCTCAAATGGTAAAGATATTGGCTCTTACCCACTTGAAAAGCTTAAGAATTTTTCTGATGATGGTAAAATAAGACTATACCTGAAAAGATAAGTAGAGGTTCACCGATACAGATTTTCTTGGCTGACACCGATAACCGATTATTAACCAGGCATATCGGCTGCTACCAATCCAATAGCCAATTTACAGGAATGCAGCAGGGCAGCTTGGAGAGCAGCACCCTGTCAGTAAGTCTGTGGGTAGAAAGGGGTGTGGGGGAAGCAAGGGGCATGGGAGGGGGGGAGGGGAGGGGGCGCGCAGATCAAGACCCCCATAGTGAGGGAGGGATTGGGGCAGCAGCAGAGGCAGGAGCTGCCCAGCTAGGGCAGTAAATGCATCCCTGGAGCCAGGACTGGAACAGAATCTCAGGTGGCTAGTCCAAGTAGCATGATGGGGGTGGGGGCAGCTCCTTGTTACTGTGTACAACCCCGGGGGAGGCATGGGGGGCATGTGCACCTCTAGATTTGTACATGGGGTGAGGGAAGGGACGCTCTAGTAAATCAGGAAAAATATATATTTTTAATAATATTTAAATAAGTTATAGCAGATGTTTGATTTTTTTAGTATATGATGGTTATTTTCCAGCTTAAAGATGGCAATCCCCACCCATGGGTGCACAGTGAGGAACCTTCTGACCTTACATAATGGAGAGGGAGATAGAAAAGGGAAAGAAAGCAAGAATTAAATCATGGGTCAAAGAGACCATCACTACTTGCCAAGTATTCTGCATCTGGGCTGAAGTCCCTCTCCACCCTACCTTCTGATAGCAGATGATGATGGCAGGGCATAACCTTCAAACAATAGCCTTGACTATGGTTAGTACTTGTAGCAAACAGGAATGACAATCCAATATCCTGTGTAAGGCACCCCACAACAGCAGCAGCAGCTGGCAGTAACACTTGAAGACATGTCCCCCACCCTCCACTTCCAGCTGTAGCAAGAATCTCATCACATCTTACAAGGGTATGTGAAGTCTGACCTAAGTGCAGTTCCACAATGCTCAATACACTCTTGCCTGAAAGTTTAGGCTGAAAATAAGAAGAGCTTCAAACCAGAGAAGTGGGGGTCTGGAACGGTCTTCCAATAAAACAAAAAACGATGGCCCTCTCCAGGAAGATGTTGGGCTGGGGCTCAAGAAAAGGCTTTCCAAATACTGCTTCTTTCTACTAGGTAGACCCATGTGGGCCTGTGCTTTTCCTGGAGGTCTCAGTGTGAGATGAGAAAGGCTGGACGGCAATTGCTACAGAAGTGGCAGCAAAAGGATGGTGGTTGGACCCAACAGTCATTTTCTATACATACAGGTGCTGGAAGCCTTTCTGCTGTCTCCACAACCCAGCCACCAGCTAGCTTGTTGGTACAGACGATTAGGACTCAGCCCTGGAATGCTGCCCTTCTGGCTTCACTTCTCACGATGGGGGGGGAAGAGGGAGAGAAAAAGGCGGCTGCTGGGCCAGGAGCCAACTCTTCCCTAAGTCTGCTTTCTTTCCTGCTAAAGCAGAGCAGCCAGGGCAACCTCCCCCATGAAGACCCTGCAAGGCAAGCCATCCCACACACAAAACCTGCTGAGCTACCAATGAGAAATGTAATAATCAGAGGAAAGGGAAGAAGAGACAGCCCCTTCCTTTTGGGTCTGGCTTTTTTGGGCTTAGCTCTCTCCCCAACAGCTACAGGTGCATGAGCCACAACAACAAAAAACCTCAAACAAGTGTGTGAGGGAACAGAGTTAAGAGGACAGCTATCTTGAACCACAGCTGGAAATTATACAGACAAGCTGCAAGTCAGCCTGTTTTGGGAAAAATGCCAAACCTTCCAATGTTTAGACTAAGTCCCACAATAGAGAGGAAGGACTAGCTGGGGCACCAACTGCTCTGAAGTCGGAAAAAAAATGGAGGGACCGTCAAGGACATTAAGTAATTTTAATGCTGACCCAATAACCAGCTCAGCTACCTGCAGAACTTAGCACAAAGCAAGGGACACACTAGTTCAAAAGCTATGCACACTCTGCATGTTTAGGAAACAAATACAACCCATAACTGAGACCACATTAGACTCAAAAAGTACTGAGACATTCTTACACTCTAAGGAGAAAAACTACTGCATCAGTGACTTAGCTCTTTCAAAACACTCTAAAATGCAGGACATCTCAAAATACTACACTAAAAATAGATGGAAAACTTCTAACCAGAGTGCTCAGAAAAAAACCCACACTTTACATATGCTGCTTTTATTACAGGGATGTACTCATTTCAGAGCCAACCACCTCCACATAAACATTCAACACAATGAAATCAGGGAAGGATCGCAGCAGCTGTTAAAGACAGAGAGCATAGCTCAGAGCAGCTGCTATCACTGAAACCAGACATTTGATAGAGGATTCACCAACCATTTTATCAAGTAAACAAGAGGGAAGGAAATTGAAATAGCTATTCAAGAACTGTAGTTGTATTGGCACAGGTCGTACCAAAAGCTTGTATCAGTAAACTCCCCTTGTAAGCCAATCCAATGCCAGAATCAATATGTCTGGAAAGATCTTATTACAATAAGTGGAAAGGACAGTTTAATTAATCACCAGTATGTTCCTCTAAGAAAAAACATCCAAAGTTGGACTCTTCAAATCATACAAATCCCAGCAGAACTATAACCAAGTCAAGTTGCACTAATCAGTAAAATATGGCAGAAAAGAAGGTAAGGACAATGACAGAAAAGAAACTGTAAGTTGAGCTTTACCTCCGGAATCCAGAGGGCACAACTCACATGTGCCCACTTAGTCCCTGTCCTGGTAGCTTTCATGGCACCTCCTCTCTTTGGACACAAGAGACATTGAGGGTGTATTCCCAGAACACAAGTACGACACAGCCAGCTTCCTTCTGGAACCTTTAAGATTCCATAACATGCCTTGAGATAAAATAAATTTGGGGATAATGATTATTTTAAAAAAGTTACACACTACAAACTGCCAACACACTTTTTCCCTGCACTCTGATGTAAATCAGTACAGACCTTATCAAAAACGTAGACCCTGGAGTGTACCAGTTTCAATATACAAACATTTTTGCATGTAAATGTAATTGCTAATTTTAATGCCATAGAATGGCTTCAAAATGCAAAAAAAGCAACTTTGACTCCCAACTGTCATTAAAAATTGACAGAAGATGGGCACCCAACTCTCCTTTGTGCTCTTGAAAAATCTCCATGTAATACTATAGTTAAAGTAGTCAGGTGACAAAAGCTGCTTCCTACAACTTTTTAATGCTTTTTTCTTCTTAAAATATGTACTATTATATTTACTTACTAAACATATATGCACAAAACATAAAACACAGTACTATAAGTTCCCTAATTTCTGCATTTATTGACTTTCTAGAATTATAGCTTAGAAATGTAACACTAAATTAAAAATCACCAATTCCCTGCTATTAATAAAGTTATAATTTGACACGATTCTGGTTAAGGTTTTGAAGGGCATGGATGGCGCATTTTTCCTTCATGTCTTTGCTGCAGATATTTTGCTCAAGATAGTTCTAAAAAAATGCATGCTGCCATCTTAATACAACCAGATACAATACAGATAGCTGTGTTGGATGTTTCTTAACAACGGAAATAACTTTTGTTGTACTCTGGTAATAACAAGCATTCACTTTAAAAGAAAATTAGGTAAACCATCCAAAACACAAGATATGCTCTTTAAATTTTCAGATTCCCAGATCTTGGACTTATTATTCCAATTTGGAAATGCGCATGCATTGCCAAGTTTGAAGAACTTATGAAATAAGCAAACTTTTAAACAGCATGTTATTTTTCTTGTTCAAGCTGATAATTAAGAAATACAACTGAGATTATCTAGGTATATACATGAACCTGTCTTAAAACGAATAAATCAAAAACTTTCAATTGTTAAAAAGATTTGATTCAATATTGAAATAATTTCCAGTGAAAAACAAGCTTTTTCAAAAGTATTCCATGATTTCTAACAGTTCTGCTTCATTAGTATTACCAATACCAAGAGCCCTACTCTAGGTGGACCATTAGAGGCAGACAGGGTTTTAAACTCAAGATGGTATTAGAGATGCTTTAAGCAGCATTAGAGGACAGTGAGTGCTTCAAGCCTGCAGCCTGTCTAGACTAAGGTTCCCAACAGTACTCAATTTGGTGGATTTTTCTCCTATGCATGTTGGTTAGCACTTGGGAGATGAGACCTAAGGTTTTCAGTGCCCCCAGGAACTCAGTATACTGCATAAAGCTGGGATTCCCATAATGGAATATTTTAACCTGCTGACCTGGCTTTCTGAGTCACAAGACCTTAGTATTAAAAGTAAGTATAAGGATAGGTGAAATATTTATTTTTAAAAAAGGAGGAGCAAAATAAGGGAGAAAAAATGGCTTTTCTAAGTTTATGTCACAATTCTTGAACTAAATGTCAAACTGATATGGAACTACTGTACATCAATTTTAACAGAAGAGCTAAAAGGAAAAAAAATAATAGCATTCTTTTGAAAACCCACTGGAGGGAGCTGTGGTCTAATGACTTAGCAAGTCAGCTTTTTTTATTAAAAGTATGTGAAGCAGAATGTAAGGCAGTGTAGCACCTCAGGGACTAACTAGTGAGAGAGCTATGAGCTTTCGTAGGCAACAGCCTACTTTGCCAGATGCTATAAACAGACTGTTTAACACATGATGTGTTATGTTCACAGCTAATTTTTTTACGTCCACTACTATTAAACTACAATGCAAAAGACGCATGTTACCCAGTTTACAACATACTTTTAGAAGCTTAAGTCCAATTTCAAACTCCTTTGCTCCTTTGATTTTAGTTAGTTAATAATGGCTTCATTTCTTATTCCAGGAAGCCTAGACTAAGAAAAAACACACTGTTTTCAAAAAGGTGGCTAAAGTTTCATATTTAAAAGAAATCGTAAATAAATGAGAGAGAGAGCAAGAGAGGGAGAGAGAGAAAATGGGAGGGAGGGAGACAGAGAAAGAGAGAGAGAGAGAGAGGGAGAGAGAGAGAGAAACTAAACTGTCTCAATGTCACACTTTCTTTTCTGTGGTTTATCTGAAGGGATACAGTATTCAGAACGTGCCGAAGTCTATTTTAATCTCCCATCAGAATTTATGCTGCGTGGAGGGGAATCATAACAATTGGGAAGGTAATTTTATTGTGATCACTGTATGCTGCTCTTGCAAATCAAGAAAGCACAGAAAGTGATTCAGCATAGAGAATGACTACTTAGGGGCCTACACCAAGTTCCCTGAATGTTCAGTTAACTTTATCACAAAATATTAAGAACAACCTTGGTGTAATTTTGAAAAAGAAGAATGTAATGTTTTTCAAGGCAGGATACTTTACAACCCAAGGTCAGTCCATTAGCAAGGCCAGACCTGTGCAATTTCCCCCTGAACTAATCTGGTTGCTGTATTTAAAATAATGCTTGCAATGCCATAAACATAAGGAATATTCTTAGCTTAGAGTAAGCTTGCTCCAGAAAGCTAGGAGGACTGATTTTCAGAAAACTTATTTAGGAACCTAGATTTAGGCAATTCTCAAACCCATACTCAGGCAGGTAGGTTTGGAAGTTTTGTCCCAATTAACTAGCTCAGTGGCTCTCAACATTTTTATACTCTAGGCACCACTTCAAAGTTTTTCAGGAATTTAGCAATACCCCATTTAAAAAAAACCTAATATATTTGTATATATTAAACAAATATAATAATTATGCTATTAATTAAAGTGTTATTAATTGATTATACAATATTCAACCCTTCAGGCTGCTGGCAGAAAATGATCTGCCTAGCTCTGCCTGGCCCAGCGCACAATGCCTCCCAGTGCAGCAGTGGACTCCCCACAAATAGCTCCAGGTCACTAGAGGGAATCAGGAACCAGTGTTAAATTCTTCCCTAGGACAATCCCCCCTGAACTCCATCCCTGAAATCCCAAGGGGTAGAGCTCAGGAACACCCAGTCAGGAGGGATGAGGCACTGGGCTTCATCTGGGGAACACTGAGAGGGTAGGAGAAGCCAAAGGCAGTGCCATCACTGTGGCCATCACCCCACCATGGAGTGAAATTTCACCACAAACTTCGGCTTTCAGAAGGCACGTTGGAACCAAAACTAGGAAGAGTTGCAGCAGAAAGACACCTACCTGCAATGGATTACGAACATAAGCACACTGCTTCTCCTACAGCTCCTCCCAGTTTGGGCCCTATGTGCCTCCTGAAAGCTGAGACACATGGCACAGTTCTACCTGGTGGCAGTGGCATCTATCTCCAGGCTGCCACCACCATAGGGAGAAACTGCCCTGAATGCCTCAGGGCACGAAGCACGTCAGAGATGACCTGGGAAGAGCTGAGCAGAAAGGTGCACTTGGGTGCATCATGTAATGCAAGCAAGCACACCTTTCTGCTATAGCTCTTCCTAGTTCAACTCCAATACATTTCCTAAAAACCTAAGCACATGGGGCAGTTTTTCCTCAGAGCAGCAAAGCCAGCATCATAGCACATCTGGCAAGTTCTTGCACCACCCTGGTTGAGAATCTGTGAACTGGCTGATCAAGATTTTAAGTCTCATTTCAGTGTCTACACAGCCCTATCTACCTTCAAAGTGTTGCTTTTTTAAAAAACAGCAAAAGAATTATGCATAAGGCCATGGAGGGGATCCTTGGTAGAGCTGGGATTAGACCAGCATGTATTGCTGCTGTGCTCAAAACCACAGGTCTCTAATATTCACTGTGCTAGACAGTACAATCTATTGTAGTGGCAATAGCACAGAAGTCCAGCTCAGCACTCAGACAGTCTTCATATCTAGAAGATCTTCAAAATGCTCCTAACTGCTATTTAAAGCTAAATGAATGCAGAACTATAACAAAATAAATGAACACAGGGTAGTTTCAACATCTCTGCAGCTAACACAAACCTGATGGACACAGATGTTACATTTGTCACAAAACACCATATCATTCCCATCTTCACTGTCAGGGGACCGGCACACATCACAGATCACATCTTCATCATATTCTATGCCCAGCCCTTCTTCAGTTTCAATAGCATGGTTCATATTCTCATGACAGTGCCGTTCTAGGACTTCTATTGTCTTCTCCATTGTGTTCTCATCCAGGTGCCCACATCCTAAAGCAGTGGAGAAGGGGAATTAGAATGCCTATGACCATGTAGCAATAAAGTTAAGATAAGGGAATACATGCAAGAAAAAAATTATACCTCTAGCAACTGAATGACAGAACAGAACCTACTCTTCTATCGTTATGTAAAAATTGATATTAAGAATTCCTTTACCCTTTTCTCTGCTATTTTGATTTGGTTTGATAAAGTTTGCAGTCTAATTTCAAAACTATAATTACAAACCAACCACATTTTAGAATAAAAATGGTGAGGTATGGTCATTGCTCTTGAAGACCACCCCTTAAAATACACTGCCACATGAAAGATAATTGTTGCAATGTGCTTTTGAAAAAAAAGCCTCTACTCTCAAGTCATTTTCTGTAAAGGAAAGCTCAGATATCTTGATACAAATGGTTTAAAAATCATACAAATACATCCCAAACCAATACAACCCAGAGTGATCAGCATAATAGCCATGAAGTTTATTTTTTTAATATATTAGCAGATGAATATGCCATAAGAAGGAGCGAACGATTCTGGATTGTCCAGGTATATTGTTCTCTTCTACCAAGTCTCTGTTTAAACTACACACACACAGATATTTTGTCCCATCAGAATTAATTCACTATAAACAGAAATATTTTTTTAAAGGATTTGCTACACTAGTATCAGAACACTGCACCATCCTGGGTGTTTGAATCATAGGTTTCTATTTAGAAAGCTCCTTTAGGAAGTAACTGCACTTTCCTCAAAAGCTTTATTTTGTGGGGAAAAAAAATGCATATTTCAGAGAGAACCTTCCCTCCCCCACTTCTTTCTAGGATATTAAAAATTGGTTCTTCCTGCCTGGACTTTTCCTTGTTTTCTCAAAACTAAACCAAGAAGGATGGGAAAAAGTTTGTTTTGGTACAAATAGTAGAATATTTTTAATTAATCTAGTAAGTCTATTGCTGTCAACATTTTCCCCTAACAGTGGGTTCCAGTGCTCTCCTAGATTTACTCTTTCCTGTTTTCTTCTATTCATATCCTCAGTTCCTCAAAACAACCAAACAGAATCCAACTCAAATGCATAGCAAAGTACTTTTTAAATGATTCATTTTTTTTTTAATTACCCATTTCTGTAAGCTCCTCATTTAGTTCTTGAAGCCAAAAGATATCCATATCATCCAAGTCATAGCGACACACAGATTCTGCCAGTTCTAAAATGTTGATGTAACCAGGTTCTGCAGGTTCTTGGCTGGAGCAATGGATATACTTCCGAGGTCGGGTATATAGCACTTCCTTCACCTTTTCTGCTACAACCCTAAATGCAGAGTTAAAAAAACCAAATAAACAAAAAACAAAACAATAGAAGTATAAAGGTTATCTATGATTACCATATTTACTTGAATACAAGACAAGGTTTCTTCTTCCCCACAATCACTATGGGGGAAAAAGCTCTTGTCTTACACTGTCTATCATTAAACTGATGCCAAAAGCAGCATGTGCTCAGTAACAGAATCCATCTACAAGCGCTGGGCCTGGAGGTACTGCAATACCAGGCCAGCACTCTGAGGGCACGTCCACACGTGCGCTTGCAGCAGCTCAAATAGAAGTGGCGCAAATTTGAGCCGGGGCTTTTTGCCTCAGCGCACGTGCTCGGACATGCACTCTGTTGTGGAGCAAATTGTGCCACTTGGGGCAAAATAACCCTGCCTGGCTCCTCCCGGATATTCAGCCAGGGGGAGCTAGAGCCTGGGGCCAGCACCTGTGCTGTCCCCAGCAGTTTAAAAAGCTGCCCTGTCCTGGCCTCAGCAGTATAAAAAGCTGCCCTGGCAAGTAGCTCAGGGCTACTCTCTCTCAGGAGCTTCTGGGGCCCAGCCAACTGGTACCTGGGAACACTACCCATTGTGCCAGCTGGACTGCTGAAGCAGCCCTGAGAGTCCCTGCACCCTTTACCCACTGCAGCAGTCTGGCAGTGGGGGCTGCTGCCTGGCTGTGACCTGCTGCGCACCTGCCAGACTCGGATGGGGACTGTAGAGCCAGTAGAGGCATCTGCCCCTCTGGGCCAGCTGCCAGTGGACTGCGGTTGCAGGGTTGGCCTTTGTGTGGCACTACTGCCATTTGTGCCCCCTGCCCGGCCATCTGGTCAGCCATCACCAGGAAGATGTTTCGGGTGTGGTGGCCTGCTTTGAACTGTCAAAGCATGTCCTCCTGGCCCCATTTGGCCAGGAGGTCAACCACCTCCAAATGGGTCCAAGGTGCCAGCTCTGAACAGGCGGGGCCCTGCCACTGGCCTCCCTAGCAGGAATTCTGGTGTTCCCTATTGGAAATCTGAAAAGTCCCTGATAAAACAAAAGACCACTATAAAGAGACAGACAGACAGACAGAGATCAGTTGGACAACGTTTTACTGATATACCTACAGTGTTAAAGCAAGTCTCTTATCATAATAATAAAGTGAACTCTAAATACAGGTTTCATGAATTCATGAATACATATTTTACTGCCCTCCCACAGGGAGATGGTCCCCACACAAGGGGTTGGTCCCCCACACAAAGGCTTTGGCCCCCCAACAGGGGTTTAGACCCCCAACAGGGGGTTTGGCCCTCTCACAAGGGTCCCTGATAAAACAAAAGACCACTATAAAGAGACAGACAGACAGACAGAGATCAGTTGGACAACGTTTTACTGATATACCTACAGTGTTAAAGCAAGTCTCTTATCATAATAATAAAGTGAACTCTAAATACAGGTTTCATGAATTCATGAATACATATTTTACTGCCCTCCCACAGGGAGATGGTCCCCACACAAGGGGTTGGTCCCCCACACAAAGGCTTTGGCCCCCCAACAGGGGTTTAGACCCCCAACAGGGGGTTTGGCCCTCTCACAAGGGGTACGGCCCCCCAACGGGGGCCAAATGGCCCCCGCATGGGGCTACCACCCCCCCGCAAAGGCCCACATGCCCCACCCCAGCCCCCTGATT